ATTATTAAAAGAATGCATGAGAATTGGTGGTGGAACAGAAACAGATGACTATTGCAACTAAAGTTTTGAAACGTTTTGAAAGGGTTAAGGGTAGAAAAATTAATTTAAGTAACATATTTTTGGAAAAGGTAATAAATAAGCAATATGATTTGAAAGATGAACAGAACATTATATTGATGGGAAAGACAGGATGGGATATTTAAAAAACTCACTTGATGCCCTCTTCTAAGTGCTTCGGAAAGAACACGTTCCTCTGCAGCCTCAAGACGGGCTGGTCGCGCGCCTTCCGCGTCTCCGAGCCGTGTCCGTACCGTTGTAACAACTTCTGCCAGCTCGCCCAGATTTTCCATGGGCAGTGGTGCGGCTTGAGCTGGATTTCTGCAACAAGAAATAATACCAAACTTGGAAATACTCAAGTACGTAAGCTTGCTTACACATAGTCTGATCACTTGATATAGTTATCATAACATTATTATAAAAACAAGCTGTTGAAAAGGTTTTACATGCCATCAGCCATGGTTGAAGGATTAGAAAACTGGATGAAAATCCGGCCCGAAGGACCAGAAAATGTGTAGGAAGTTCTGGTTCAAAGGATCAGAAAACTGGAGGAATCCGGCTCGAAGGACCAGAAAATTGGAGGAATTCGGCTCGAAGGACCAGAAAATTACAGAAAACCACCTCATTTGAGAGTGCCTACTTTTTTTTAGATACCTACTATTAACTTACCCAACAATGGACTGCACATCCACAAAGCAAAGACGTTCGCTGCCAGACTCCTTGCGCTGGGCTGCGTCAGACCTAGTTCCTCAGTAGCCAGGGTTGCATTGAGGAACCTGGAAGCCGTCACGCATGAGGGAACTTCCTCTGAGCTCATCTCTATCATTATGGCGGTTTTGGACATGAGGTACACGCATGTCACAGGGTTTGAGGTCACGCTGGACGAAGAGGCTGTGCTGCCTGATGACCCTGAATGATAAAAAGGAGTAATTTATTACTCCAGTTATTAAAAGGATGAGATGTTAATTAAATGGTATCTACTAGCTATTGCTTATGATAAGATCGTCCCATTAAAATGCAAACGATTTGAGATCAGATCAGTGCCATTTGAAACATTTGAATTCTTTCAAAAAGCCCTTTCTTTCGAAATGCAATACAGTTGAACCGAAAATATTTCCGGACATTCTGGCATCAAAGATGACGTAAAATGGAATTATCTGGTCCCTGGAAGCAATTTCTCACCAGGCAAAGGCGGGGATATAGCACTGGACGAACTGCCGCCACTCGTGATGGGCTCTGTTGTGCTGAAGGAGCCAGCAGCGATGCTGCTGGAACCCGTCTGGTTAGAGCAGCTGCTGAGGTTTGACCCTGAAGAATGTTAGCGTAAATGTTTGAAAAGCATACTTTAGTTCAGCAGAACTTTCAAAAGAATTTCACATTTAAAAGCTCTGCTAAAAGTGCGAAAAACAAAGAGCAAAGTAAATAATTAAAAAAAACCCAGAATGGATCTAATAAACAGAGAAAATTACTTTTTTATTTCCTAGTCAATTCTCAGGGTCTGTTAATCGGGGAATTAAAATAGGTAAGTCCCGAAACCTACTTTTTATGGGACAAGAGGCAAATGAGCTGACGTAGACACCCGCAACCCCGGGGGAGTTACAAGATATTACAGGATCGCTCATACTTTGCTACTGGGTGCGGACTGACTTATTTTCTTGATGCTAAAGTTTTATTTACCCATAACACTTTTCTCCAACGAGTCCGAGCTATTGCTCTCTTTGGAGTCTGGCAAGGGTTTGTGCGGGTCATGCTTGTCCCACTCGTTGTGCCGTCCCAGGGGGCTGTATGTGAGGTGCGGCAGCCTTTGGGACACTGAATATAAGTGTGCATTGACTTCTGCCTGCAATTTCTGGCTTTGAACGCTGTAATACTCTTCCCGCGACCTAAATTCACTGAAAAGAAATATTGGATAATTTTATTAATTTTTACGTTACCTTTTTATTACTGAAAACAATTGAAGGAATTTAAATGTGGTATGTAATAACAACTACAGTAAACAATAGTTTGCTTACTTGTATTGATACTCTGCTTGCATAGGATAACCACGACGCGAATAATCTACGGGGATGATTGTAATGTAATTCCCACTGTTTTGAACATTCGGATTTTCCCCGTAGGCCCCCATTTCAGATTGATGTTCCATTTATTACTACAAAAACATAGTTTAATCAGTCATTTTCCTAACAAAAATAAATAATATTGTAACTTGATGAAAATATCGATCGGACTTCCCGCCTCTATCAGTGTTGCCACTTTTTTAAAAATGTTCCAATTAATAAGTAGCTCAGTTTTATAATACTAACACATTTTATAAGTTGATAATCTAATTATGACGTTAAAAAAATTTGTAGTATTTTATTTTGCTTCGAAATACAAGTATTATTAACAAAATAACTTATTTAAATAATGAGCTCAATCTATAATCTTAATCGAGTATAATGAACGGCACTATTTTTATCGATCAGCTGCTGTGCTGTCACCGAATATGTTAAAATGACATTTGGAAATCATTTGTTTTTGTCTACAATCGCTCGCGCAAATTGTGCTTGTTTGAATGTCGACGTGTTTTAAATTCAGTTTTTGCTAATTAAAAACCTCACCTTTGTTCATTGCCAGTTGATTTTAATCCATATTGTAGCTGGCGCCAAACTTGTGCCGGTCAATACTTTGAAACCTACCCGAACAGCACCGGATTTATTTGTGAGACTTGAAGACAAGCAGGTATTTAAGTTACTTGTATTGTCATGACAAAATTGATAAGTGAATTTTATCACATAATAATCTACGCTTTTTCGTAGACTCAAAATTCCACGTATGGAGGAGAAACTGAAGGAATACCGCGCTCTTCGCCGTCGCAAACAGTTGATAAACGAAGCCAAGGAGAAATTGGAAGCAGGGAGGCAGAAAATAGTCGATATGTTGGTGCCTAATGCTTTTAAAGACATGGGGAAAGAGAATGAAGAAGAGGCCTTGTTGGTAGGTTGAAATACTAGTTCAAGTATGTTTATTTACTATTTTTAATTCTTGATCTTCTTTTTTTTTTATTAGCGACAATGAGGAAGCTCTTGACCTGTATCTGACTCGATGGAAAGTGATGCTCTAAGTGATCATCATGTGATGAAATAAAAATGCTGTACACTACTGTAATTCAAATTATTTTCTTGGTTATTTCAGATGGAAAATGAAGAAATTCCTCAGGAAGAAGAAAAGCTCTTGCCATCTGAACCAGAATCACCCAGCGAAGTTGCATCTGAAACCAGCGAGGTGGAATCCTTCATAGAAGAACAACCAGAATCTTGGCAATATTTCACCATAAAATGGGCAATTGTTGGCATTGTCTGGCTTGCACTTTTCATAGTTTTCTTGAAAATCCAATTCGGGGCAGTTTTCTTTGTGATCTCAGTTTTAGTAGGAATTTGTATTAACACACGAACAAGGCCAAAAAAGAGAGGCGAAGTCTCTGCCTATAGTGTGTTTAATGAGAATTGTGTCAGCATAGATGGCACTCTGAAAGCGGAGCAGTTTGAGAGGGAAATACGGTATGGTGCGGCCAGTGTGAGGTAAATTTTATATTTACAGCAAATATAGGTGTACTCGGTCCCAATTGAATTGTGACTTGACTGGCTGTAATCTCAATTATTAATCTTCAGCCTTCTATGTACAATCAACTGCACATCAAGCTAATACTAATTACTGTATCTTCTAACGTAGTTGGAATAATTTAACAAAATTTTCTATTTTTTCAACAAAATGTAGCCTAATGTGCTGCCGATTGTACTATTTATTATACCATTCCATTATGAATAAATGTGTGTCTATTTTAATAGGTGTCTAAAATTATCATGAAACTTTTTATAACTGTTCGGTCCCTTTTGGAAAACAGGTTTTATCAGACTGACTGTCACTTCAAGTGATGTAGTATGATTCTTGTAGGATACGCTGCAGTTATAGCTATATTATTAACTTATTAAGAATATGTATGAAATAATAAATAAAGCTGTTTATTGCCAGCTATTTTATTTTGTTTCATTTATTCAGGTCAGCGTTGAAAAATGAAAGAGCAAAAATTGGTAAATTAAATTTGGTTTATTAATCACATTTAGAATTGACAACAAATATAAATTCAGTAGTAATAATAAATGCAACATAATTTAGATTTAATTAAACTACAATAGCGCAACAGAAACCTTTTAGGAACATATTGCTTGTTCTTGCACCAGATAAAATTATGTACACGACTTGGCCATACCAAATAGTAAAATTTTTTGCTAGAATTTTTATTATAAATGGTCCTTTGCATTTTTTGCAATTGCCTTTAGTAAAACCCATGACTAATATTTTCTACCATTTTCCATTTATTTATACCTACATTTTCATTCAATTCTGTTATTTAGACATTTTTAACATTACTTAATTTCAAAGTTACTGCTTGGCGAATATAACATAAAGAAGTGTACATAATATCACTATACACACCCTTTTCGTATTTTCAAGCATATCACTCTCTTTCTTTTTTACTAAATAAGAGAGAGATGAAGAGCGCTTCTGATAGGCCATACAATGTTAGGAACAAATCATTAGCCTCAGATGCAATTTAAATTAAGTATTAGCTAGTTAATATGGTCATGGTGGAAGATTTAATGAAATAGTAGGTACATAATTTGAGCAAAAAATAAAAACAAAAAGGAAAGGAATGTAAGCAAATTCTTCTACAAATCACATATTTCTTGAAACCTTACATTAATGTATACAGGGTGGAAACGTTAAGTGATCTCACTCGATTATTTCTAAACTATACAAGATATTGAAAAACTGGTAACTGATCCTGAAAGTGCTTCATGAGCTCTTTCAAACGGTACCAATAATAGGGTACAGCATAAACTGGATCTATCTGAAAATTCAATGTTTCCAGCTTCCATACTAAATGTATGCCAGCCACACAATATTAGAAGTGTAATTTTTCTATTTAATAATAAACTCTTAAAATAAACTCGTAAATTGTATTCTTATTTAAAATTATTCATGGAAAACATTGGTTTTAGGCTTTACTTGCTATAATATTGTCAAGAGATGAGTGTCATGACTGTGGTTGTACTAAATGTATGGAAGAAAGAAACATTGCATTTTTGGATAGATCCAGTTTATTCTGTAACCTATTATTGATACCATTGGATAGAGCTTGTGATGCACTTTTAGAATCAGTAATCAGTTTTACGATATCATGTGTAGTTTTTAAAATAATGTGACTTTACTAAATGTATGGAAGCTGGAAACATTGAATTTTCGGATAGATCCAGTTTATTCTGTAACCTATTATTAATACCGTTTGATAGAGCTCATGAAGCACTTTCAGGATCAGTAACTAGTTTATTGATATCTTGTATAGTTTAGAAATAATCGAGTGAGATCACTTATCGTTTCCACCCTGTATTAGTAGGACTTAATATAATTTGACATTGAAATTGATTCCTTTTGTGTTTAGAATGTACACACACTACTTTGGAAATTTAAATAGCAATAATATGGAAGAAGGTAAGTTAACAAAATTATAATTATCAAGAATTTTCGAGGGTATGCACTCATAAAATAGAAGTATATTATTATCATTATAATAGTCTAATTTTATGATCACAATTATCTTGAAATTACTTAGTAATGGCACAAAACTTTATTATTTCATAATATTTGTTCGTTAAGATGATAGTGGACAATATAAGGCACCTTACTTGAGATACTAAACAATATGATAGAACATTTTAACACATATTTAAAATATATTGGTAACTATATTACATAGTAATAATAAAGTTAATTTTATAATTTCATATTATTATAAATTAATATTGTACTAAAATTCATATAAATAAGGCATAAATGGAAATCTAGATCATACCTACTAAAACTATATACGTATTTTAATAGTAATCAACGGAATGTACTACCTAAATGGCTCTAAATGCAATACTACCTACCTAAATCCAATATGGGGCCAATTTCGGTCTAGGTAGAAAAAAAATCTACTAATATAAATATAAATGTAACAAGAACTATAAATTATACAGGCTGCCTCAGAAAGAAGGTATTATGAAACTAACTTTGAAGTATAAATCTACACTCAAAATGTATATTTTCTCAACTAATCAGAGGCTTAAATCCATAATTGAGGTTTGATTATGGTTTTCCAATTTATGTACTTCTAGTTCCCTATTCCGAGACGATATTATTGAATGTAGATTTATTAATAGAGGGTTATTTCATAATACAGTCCTTAAATGTGGTTCACTTCACTTCAATATAGCACCTGCCATTTGCATGTTAAGTTATTGTACCTAGTTTTTGAGTTATTAGTATAGAAGTGAGTGTTGTAGTTTCAACTGTAGTAATTAGTAAAATCGTGCGTTCATGAATTTATAATCCAAATGTTTTATAAGTATAGATCAACAGAATATAGTGAACATGTAGAACCTACATACAACTTACCTACCTCGATTTATGAAGATTCTTACTCTATGACTTACATTAAACTATTTGGTAATAATACTAAATTCAAGTCACATAATATGGGGAACAAACCATTGCAAATTATGGCAGAAAATAGTTCAACTGAGTATTGGTAGTATCAATCGTGAAACAATAATTAATACTTAATTCTTGGGGCGTAATAAATATTATGCCTAATTTTGCTACGTCCTAGTTTAAGGCTTGGTATTTCTGCTAAAGTAGGTATTTCGCGCTGTCAAAATCTGCGCGCGCAATACTTCGCCGAAGACAGCGCGCCAAAGAGCTCTCCCGGCTACACAGTATAGAAATACCAGTTGGTTAGGTTAGGTTGACTTCCTTCCGTTCAAGCGTCACACTCACAGCACTTTCTAATACAAATCATATCCAAGTGATACAAATTAAAACAACTTTCAGAATTTTTGGGAATATATTTTAGAATCGAATAAATATAAAATATAACTGCCAAAGTAAACACGGTTCAAAGAGGCGTGGCGTCACCCGACCTTCCGGAATTTTCAAGATTATGTCACCCGACCTATCGTTAGGTCCTCGGGAGCTTGAGCGATTGGAAAAACATTTTATGATCAGTTACTCTTAGTAGCGATTATTTAGAGCTTGGATAAATTATAGTTGTTGCAATTCACGAAACTTTGCATGTGGTTAATTACATTAATCAGTACACGCATCAATTTTGTTCAGTCTTTTTGTTTATTAATAAATAAAAATATCATACTAAAATTGCATATATATTTTTTATTTAGAATCTCAAATCGCTTATTTTAAAAATAAAACCATAATTAGAAAACGAATAGAGGTAACTTTGGGAATTTATTCTATCGAGTCAACTTCATCAAATCGTGTTTCCATCCGTTAATAGCCCTAGAAAATATCCTCAACTATGCCCAATAAAAATCTTAGCCTTTAATTTTACTGTTTAGTACCTCAAAAATGAAAAATGAAAACCTCATTTTCGCCATTTTCTCTGCTACCCGGCCTTAAGAGAAAAAATTGAAATCCTACGATTACAGTCTTCTTGCATTGTTTCAGACGTTATAATTACCCTATTCCACTATTGTCATGTGTATATTACATTGACTATTTTATAAAAGTTACAAAAAAGAGCACACATTATTACAAACATGTGGAAAATACTACAATCTCTTCTGTACTCGTGGATGACTAGCTGAAAAAACATTCTTGTGACATTTAAAACTTACATACTAGACTAATTGCACCTTTGTGTACTTGATCATAAACTAAAGACGTTCAGAGGATTCAGTTCGCGCCAATGCCCTGAGATCGGTGGAAGACCCTGCAAAAAGGCAGTCGGCAAGAGTTTGGGCTTGGAACGAACGGGTTGGTGTCCTCAGTCCTCTTCACGTCTGGCAGTAGAAATACGACACTCAACGCGATTATCATGTGCCAAACCGAGTGCACAATTTTGTAATTCTGCTCCGTTTGAAGAAACCCGTAGCAAACTAGACCCACAGTCACCAATACTATACCCATGGGCATGTAAATAGTGTAATACGACTTGGGGTACTTCATGATCCCGTTCTTTCTGTAGTCTAGGTACCAGGATAGAAACAGGACGACACAGCCCACGGCGACAGGGAAGACGAATGAGAAAAACGAATGCATGTTCCATGTCGTGAGTAAAGCTATGACGATGGCGCCGATGAGTTGGAATGTGGATCTGAATTTGTCGCCGACGATGCTCATGGCGAGCAAAGTTACCCAGAAGGACATCAAACCGCAGTAGAAGTCTCCGAACTGAAGAATATTACCTCTTACGATGCAGTACGCCACTTGTGCAGGCGCATCGCACGCGTGGTAGAACGTCGAGAACAGCATCGTGAATGTATACATCATGGCCTCCGTGTAGTAGAGACGAATGACGGCGACGTAAATTGAGAAGAAGAATAGAAGATTGCTCAGCGTCAGTAATAGCACGGAGACTAGCATATACACTCTGCTGTCCATCCTCGAGTCGTCAGAACAGTCCCAATCTGAAAAACAAAACACGCATTAGTAAACTATACGGAAATTGTCAGGAAGTAGTTTGAGATTCTTCGTAAGCGTCATGCGCATGCATCAGCAACTTGGCGTTTTATTACAACACTGCTTACTTCCGTATCCAGCAGAGCAAGAACAGAATGACATCACCAGTCCCCCGAAAGTGTTCAGCAAGCAGCTGCCGTGGTTGCTGCAGCGGCCGCTGACGCACGAGGTCGAAGACACCGACAGCACTATCGTAGTGTTGCAGTCTGACGTGCCCTGTCTAGTATTATCCCAAGATGCAATGCTATCGTCCACTACCTCCTCCTCGTCTAACGAATCAGACACGTAATACTTAGTCCCATTATCTGAAGTAGGGCAAGGACACACTACCTGGTCGCAGAATATCCTCAGCGTCAGATACCACGTCCCGCTGTCCGGGAACGGAATTATAATCTTGTCGTATATGGTTTCAGAGTCTGTACTGTTCAGGATGAATAACGCCGGCTTGACTTGATCGTTGTACTTGCAGTGACCAGTATCAAGAGGAATACTGGGGTGGCCGATGTCCATGCAAATGACGGCCCTGATGAACTGGTTGTCTTCAGTGAACGCGAGGAGAGAACCTTTGTGCACCTCTCTCTTATATCCCATGTAATACTTCAGGCTCATAAGCAGACTGGCTTCGATTTGGAGACTCCCTCCGATATCGAGGAACTGGTTGACCTTGAACCTCACGCTCTTTATTTCGCCTGCGGTGACGTTGATCAGACTCGTCGCGTCTTGCAAATCAGTGGTTGGGAGTCCGTAGTTGAACGTGAAGAAACGTCCTTTGTCATCGCGCATAAGATCGAAAATGGTATTATTGTCTATTTCTTCTAAATCTGTGCGCATGTAGTAGGACTCGCAATCTGCCACTCTTGAGGCATTGTCTATGAGCTCGATGCGGATATAGTGCCACGCAACTGGGTGCGGTGTGAACGATATCGTTTGTACCTTGCTCTCTTTCGAATCGAACGCGCAGTGCACCAAGTTGCTCTCTTCTGTCGGCAGAGACAGCGCCTGCACTTTAAAGGTCACCTGTTTATTGTCTTCGGGAGTATTGAGAACTGTTACATTCAATCTTAATGGCAGTGGGCTATCTGCAGTAATGCATTTAAAGTAAATCGGTATCTCCGAGTAATCCAAAGTTAGATTATCGTGGCAGTCTATTAGTTCGATGGAGTCTTCTCTTTTCACTTGTAAATCTGTGTATAATATTGTTTGGCAGTCCGCAACCAAGCCTGGAAAGGACAAAAATATTATGTTCAATAATTAAATACAACGTTGGATAACAAAAACATGAGCATAGCCGTGGATATTTTAGGATTTTTTATTAACCGCATTTTGACGTCATTATGCGTCACACGTACTTTATATTCAGATAGTATTCGGTGAACAATGCCTACGAATATTCTGATTGTTCTGAGAACGAACGTCAAGTGTACCAGATTGTCTTATGAGCAGTGATAACGCGCCGCAGTTGCAGTACTAGCCTAATAATAATGTAATGAACATCATGATGCGAGTGGGCGATGTGTGGAATGGATACGGCTTTTATTAAATGTAACGCATAGGGCTACTACGTATTTTATGCTAACATTGCATTATACAAAATTCAAAGAAGAGAGAAGACAGTTTCATAATGAGGTCTTAATATTTTTTGCCTACCTTTAGAACGTTTATTTATTTTTACGCTTCATTGATTTTATTTTAATTAATGCCAAACATAAGTTTTGGTATTAACAAATCCAAGTAGATATTTTATTAATTCGACATAATTTATGGCAAATTATTTGAAATACAAAATTGATTAGGAAAGATTAATAGGTGCGTCAGCGTGTAAATATTATGTAACTAAGTAATAGGATTTTGTTCAATCAGATTTGTATACTTTTTGTCCTGCCGATTGATCCAACGTAACCGCGGATAAGTAGGTAGGTACCTAGTCTATTAAATATGTATACCTAAATATTTTTATGTACCACATGAAGACAGGCAAAAGAACTAAGTTTGGCTGACATGAAAGTTAACTATTCTTTCTGTTGCATATAAATTGACATAAATTCCTAATTTCCTAGTAACTAAGTAGGTACCTACCTATCTCTGGTAGTTGTATTTCTTCAATACAAATAAGCGACCTTCGTACATTCCTAGGAAACAAACAGTAGTTTCACGCGTGTAAACATTTACTATTACCGGGGTTTATTTAACAGAACAGAAATATTTACGGGAGATACTCGCCAATACAGGTAAGGTCAAATACTGTTTGGCAAAGTATATCTTTTATTGTGTATTTTATTTTTATTCAGACTGCGGATTTTCGGATTCCATGTTGTAATCCATACTTAATTAATCCTCAAAGTAAGTACTTTCATATCTAATTTATACTTTCATTATTGATAGTCCTGCTTAATTAGTTTGCATATCGGGCGATAATGCCAGAGATTTAGTTTGATCCACGCACAATGCCTCTACATTTGAGTGCATGATTTTTTTTATTAATCTAGGCGTTTTTCTGAGTGTTGTTTTGTTCTTTAAACATCTAGGTTTAATATTGTTTACAAAAATATATATTTTTATCCTAAGTCCTATCCTATCCAATTTAATTTTCATTAGATTTTTGATATGCCCAAACGTATCTTTGAGAGAGTAGAGTTTCTCGCAATTTTCTACAAGCAAACTAAGACGGCCCATTTACGATTTTCGGACAAAATAGGGCGGATTGTGCAATTTTCTGCGACTTATGGGAAGATATTTGTTTATTTGCTAAATATTTTCTTTCTCTAGTTTGTTCTCTCTCTTTTTCTGCAAGTATTCTGCCAAATAAAATAATTATCTATGTGTTTACACTGGTATGTGTGAATTTGGCTGCCAACTGTCGACAACCTTACCGTATATGGGGCAGGAAGTGGCACAATCAAGCAAACGCGCACGAGGCCAATTCAGTGGCTGTATCACCGAGATTTTATAGCATGTAATGCATCCACACTACCAGTCGGATTGTGCAGCAATCAAGTGCTTGGGAAGTCGGTCATGTGTCGTAGGATGCACTTACAGCCGGTGGTAACTTGACAAGGAATACATTATACATACTACAGTCTAGACAAAGTTAAAAAAATTCAACTGGCTAGCTATCACGGTTCATCTCAGCACTGGCCCATTTATTGTCCCGAAGCAGTGGTAGGGTTAATATTGGGACGTGTAAAAGGGGTTACCTACGCCATATCGAATGACAAATGATCGAAAATCAAAATATCGAATACGTTTCATCGAACGATCAAAATATCGAACGATCAAAATATCGAAGGCTCAAAATATCGAACGTTCAGAATATCGAACGATCAAAATATCGAACGGTCAAAATATCGAACGATCAAAATATCGAAAGTCGATATAGACGTTTTTATTAAATTTCATCATGCATCATTTCTTCGAGTTTATAAATTGGGGACCTATTATAAGCCTAGCCTGTCCCAAAAAGGAAAGTTCAGAAATGATGCGTGATGAAATTTAATAAAAACGTCTATATCGACTTTCGATATTTTGATCGTTCGATATTTTGATCGTTCGATATTCTGAACGTTCGATATTTTAAGCATTCGATATTATGATCGTTCGATATTTTGATCGTTCGATATTTTGATCGTTCGATGAAACGTATTCGATATTTTGATTTTCGATCATTTGTCATTCGATATGGCGTAGGTAACCCCTTTAAAAGTGCTTTTTAAAGCCTATTTGCAAAAATAAATGAGTTTTATGAGCTACAGCCAATGGGTAATGGGTAGGGTTGCCAACCGTACTCTAAAATAGAGTATTGTCCTCTATATCATGTAGGCGTACTCTATAATCTATAACACTAATAGAGTACGCTAAAATACTCTTTTTTACAAAATGTTTACTAAACTAGTGCACGTCTGTAATAATATGCAAAAATCCATAATTAGAATAAAAAATTGGCCAAGTGCGTGTCGTGTCACTCGCAGTGTAGGGTTCCGTAGTTGTCCATCGTTACCACAATATATTTCAGAAACAAGCAATTACTTCATCTAAAGTCACTTTTCATATTTTCTTCTAAGAATTTTTTACTAGTTAAGAAATTTTATAATACATAAGTCAAATGACTATTACTCTTAAACCAAGTGATGTATCTTAACCGTTATAGTTTTCCATGAAAGTTCGTGAAAAGCAGTTTTATTACAAATTTTTCCAGATTTTTCAAGCCCACAGTTTAGTTTTTAGAGGGGGGGGGGGGGAGTAGAGTAGAGTTTTACACGCCCTACTCGAACAAAAATCGACACTTTTAACTTTAATAATTTGCAAACAGATCTCTAAATGGAAAAATAGTCTTAGAAACCCCTAAGCTATTTTAAAAGACCTATCCAACGATACCCCACACGATGGGGTAGAAGATGAAAAAAAATTCATCCCCACTTTACATGTAGGGGAGCTAACCAAAAAAAAAACTTTTTAAATTTTATTTTACCGTTTTTTCGGCGTGATTAATATACATACCTCCAAAAAATTACAGCTCTCTAGTGCTAATAGTTTCCAAGCAGAACCTCGAACAGACAGACAGACATATCGAAACTATAAGGGTTCCTTGTCAGGACTACGGAACCCTAAAAAGTCTACTATTTACTGTTAATATGTTGGTATCGCCGATTCCCCAAACCATATTCGAACGTTCCTGATTCGTTGTGCTGCAAAAAGTACAAAAAAATACCTTTTTAAAAGTACAAAATAAATGATACTCTTTTTTTTTAAGTCCGTACTCTTTATTTACCTCCTTTAAAACCAGATATACTTTATTTCTTCTAAAAAAAGTTGGCAACCCTAGTAATGGGTACGCATTACGGAGACCCAAAAAACATGACAGTTATTATCCCAGAATCGAGTATTTTTTGTTTATTAATTATGTAGTTGTTTATTCCGTGAAGCTTTACAAATTAAAACTGCCACCAATGTAACTTTAATCTTCATTTTAAATTCTTTCCTGAGGTCTCGCGGTGGTAGGTACCTACTATTATTTTTTTTCTTTTTATGCAGTACCTAAATGAAATAAAAGTGAAATGTAAATTGATACATATTTACCAAGAAATCTATTCATATTTAGAAAAAAATCACATTCTTTGCAAAGAACAAAATGGCTTTAGGCAAAACAAAAACATAAATATGGCTATATTTGAATTCTTGAACAACGTTATACCCAATATCAACAAAAGAAATCCCGTGTGTACTATATTTTGTGACATGACTCAAGCATTTGACCACGTAAAACATGACATTCTGATTGACAAACTTATGACATATGGTATTCGAGGCAATGTATCACAACTAATAAAATCTTATTTAGACAACAGGAAACAATATACTTCCATTACACGTTTAAACGATAACTCGAAACTGGAAGTAGAATATCGATCAAATGAACGTCATGTTAAATATGGTGTACCACAAGGTAGTGTCTTGGGCCCACTATTATTTATTATTTATATTAATGACCTACCTCGATCTACTGACAACCCTATGACTCTTTTTGCGGACGATAGTACTCTGACTGTAGCATGTAAGCGACCTGACATTTATGAAAATGACATTAATAATTCTTTGACATCAATAATTTCATGGTTAGACAATAATAATTTAAAAATAAATATTTCTAAGACACAAGTTATGAAATTCCGACAAAGAATAATATCTGCACCTGACATAAATGTAATATACAATAACATGACAATCTCTGAAGTAGACAGTGCAAAATTTCTAGGAATATTCATAGATAAACAACTGAACTGGAAGACACACATTGAGTACCTAAGTAAAAAGTTGAGTAGTTCTGCATACGCACTATACAAGTTAGCTCCACTACTAAACGTTGATTCTCTGCTCTTGGCGTACCATGGCTTAGTGGCGTCGAATTTGAGATACGGCGTTATTTTCTGGGGGAATTCTACTGACAGAGAAATTATTTTTAAAATGCAGAAACGTTGTATACGAGCAATGTTTGGAATGAAAGCGGCTGATAGTTGTAAGCCAGTTTTCAAAAAACATATAATTTTAACATTTCCGTCAATATATATTTTAGAAATAGTACTGTTTGTTAAGGCCAATCCGTCACTTTTTATTCGTTTAGAGGATGTTGTCAGTCGCAACCGACGTGACTACTCAAGACTACGGATGCCCCCCTCAAATTCAGCTCTTATGAGTAAAAGTATATTATGTATGGCACCTAGAATTTACAATAACATCCCCTTAACAATAAAAAAATTAGAATTGTATGAATTTAAAATGAAGGTTAAAAATTTATTAATTGAAAAATGTTATTATAATCTGACGGACTTCCTAAGTGACAAATTTTGATTTACTTCTTAATATTATTATTTTTTTCATTTAATCTGATTATGCAACATTGACTTTAACTTTAATTTGATTTGATTATGCAGTATTATTGTAATTGATATTTTATTTTTAATTTAATTTGTACACCGCAAAGGTACGACATGTTGATGCCATTTTGAATGCTGACTTAACACCTTATGTACACATGTTTGAACAAATAAATGTATCTTTATCTTTATCTTTATCTTTACAATTTACAGAATTTTAGGTGTAACTAAAATCAATTAAGTAGGTACATTTACATTTTAACAATTACATTTTGGAACATGTAGAAATAAGGAAACCGTCACATTAAATGAATGCCTTTACCTATGTATAAGTAAAAAATATAATTAAGTATTAGGTTTTGTACTCTAAGAGGAAAAATAAATTCGTTGTAGTTAGCTACTTGACATACACATTGGAATTAATTAGCTGTGGTTTTGTATTTAATTGGTTTTGTATTGTTACATTCAAGGTAAAGCTACATGTAGGTAAAAGTAGGTACCTACCTAAGAGGCAAATAGAGGAACAGGAAAGTTGCAAAAAATATTAAATTTTTAGCTTTGCGCCCTTTTTGTTTTTCCACAAAACTTGATTTTGGGAAAAAAATGTTGTCCCTTTTTTCGTCAAGAACAACCTTTTTTTTATATTTATTTATTATTCATTATTGAGCAATTACATATTTGATCCAAATAGCGTCCTAAATCCTCTTTAGGTTTGTCTAGACACTATTGTTCTCTATACAAATAAAAACAACTTTTACCCGACTGCGCCAGAAGAAGGGTTATTTTATCTGTGTACATTGCTAGGCGAGTTGCGCAATTTGTCCCATTACTAGCCCCACCCTATTGACAGGAGATAGTAATTTGGTCGATAAATCCTTAATGGATATTACTCAAACCCATGGCCGTGGTTGCTATGATAACACCAGCTATGTGTAAAATTTTGATAACGCTAGTTGTTTGATACTTATCGTGATGAAACAGGCTATTTCCTAAAACTGTTATTGTAGTAGTAACATCCATGTAGTGAGTCTTCCAGTGACTTGGCCTAATTTTTAAATTTTTTTTTCTTCCAGCAACTGGGCCCTCTAAGGTTCTAGATAAGATTTTTGTTGATTTGGTGTTTAATTTATTAACATGCACATTGAAAGTGGGCCAATCGGGCTGGAATGAAAAATATCTAAAAATTCAATGCATTGACTTGGCCCGTGGACTAAGCTAAAAGTGGCCCAAGTCGCTAGAACACTCCTAGGATTTACTAACCCGAGTTTTAGGTGTTAATATGCCAGTAATTTGCATCGAACTGAAATAACCAACTAATCACCATTTATACGTGAGTAAGGTAATTTTAGAGTTAGATAAAAAGGTGCATTAAATAACTTCTTGAAAATCTTATTTGACTCAGGCATGGGATTCAAGTATAAACATTCAAAGTCAAGCCCGAAATGGAGGCAACGGACAGTAAATTGAGCAATTGCTCGTGTGATCTACGTGTTCTTGGGGTCAAGAAGTCACACAGAGCAACACTCGTTTGATTGAATGCTTCCTAACAGTCGGAAATTTGCAATCGGCTAGCCAAGCCGTCGGCATGCTTGGTAACAGATTTTGACACGCAATGTTACTTACTTCCCAATTGCCCTGTCATCATCAAGTCATTAAAAAAAATAACCCCCTTACTAATAAAACACACGCTCGTTGAACAGTGTTTTAAAGTGACGTTTAGTATGGAAATATGATTTTAAAACAGTGTTCAACAACTGTGTAACTTTTTATTAGTAAGGGGGTTAGTTTCTACTGCAAGAGGACGGTCCGCTCTAATTTACAAGGAGAAAACGAAGGAAAGGTGGACAGAGGTCCTCATATAAGTAGCAGGAAAGCGCTGGATGCAGGCTGCTACAAACCGGTCAAACTGGAAATCGTTGGGGGATGCCTCCTATGTTCAGCAGTGAACGTCCTCTGGCTCAATTAATGATGATGAAATGGAGATAGCCTACACTTAGAGAGACAGGTTGGGGAGGTATATTACCTATGTAAGATAGATCATATCCATGTCGCAAGTGCCACCGAAATACTGTGAAACTAGTTTAGTTCAAATTCACCAAGTTTGGAATGTCGCGGTAGTCGTTTCGTTAAATTACGTGTTCCAAGTTTGAATCGAGTTTTCAGTATCGTTTCAGCCATAGTATTACCGTGTTTCAGCTATGCCCGTTGCTTACGATCACCATTACAATTTTCTTAATAATTACAGTAACATTTATTTACCTTACTTTTTACGTTACACAACTTGATAGACTCTACACTCTTAGAACTAACGTAACATTCAAGTGTAAAAATCTTAATTAACAACAAACTCACCTTGTTGCTCAACCTTCTGCGTCCTCGGGTCCTCCCATTTGATGTACACCAAGGCGTACCAGTTTCCAGGTCTTGGGTTGGTGATCGAATATGTCCTGTTCAGACCATCAGAGAGCAGTTCCAGGGTATGAATGTTCTCCCGAGTCGCCGGATCCACGAAGAATGGGGGGAAGTCGTACCCATCAGGATTTACTGCTGGATACGAGCCATGCTTGATGTTGACTATCACCTCTTGGGGGCTGCAAGACCCTGGAAACCATTGCATGATTATGGACGATTTGAATGATTGAAATGCTCTAAATTAAGGCTTGGAACCGTTCCATAGAACGGTGAAACATTCGTTTTATGTTCAATTAGCTAGCGACCTTACTGGCTTTGTAGCACTGATTTGAAAATCATAAAAATTATTATGCTTCAAATTATGCAAGTCTTCTTTTTAAGAGAAATTGAGAACATCGTTCTCATCTTTACAACCTTATTAATATCAAAAGTGACTTTGAAAAATATAGCAATGAGGCCGAAAAATGTATGTTGTTTTTGTTGTGATCAGGGAATATTTTATCATAACGATAAGAGTTTAATTACGTATAAATAATTTTGATGCCTACCTAAATAAAGTAAATGCGCGTTCATCGTGTCCGAATTCTAATTTTACCCCTTACCATAATAGTAAAGCTTAAACTCTCCCTACATTGTTTATTAATATGATCGTGGATCGTGTGGAATGATTGTACTTTGTAGGTTTACCAAATGGAATAAGGTACAGTATATTCGCTTTCAGATTACTCAGACCTTCAATCACGGGAGATCGTGCGGAGAGCTGTATTCGCTTCTATAAAATCGACGTGAACGTTTCAACGTGATCACGAACGCTCTGCCAAGAATGAAACGAATAGGAAGAAAAGAGCTTCAATAGCTTTCAGGTAGGCATAGGTATAGCGATTCTCTACCAATGCGTGCTAACTGCTACTTCTTACTCATGCAGCAATACAATTGCGATAATCGTAGTTATCGGTTAGTGTAGTTGCAGATGCAGTGTACAATCGCGATTGAGTAGCGATGCTAGTGATACAGCCACGCACGATGCCAAAAGGTGTTACTTATAGTGGTGTAAGACACTTCAGGGATCTTGACGGTACATTGCTCATAAGCATCTTTCATGTGCTTCATCGCCCATCAGTGACCTACACTCACCGCAGTCACCCAACTATAAGACACCCCGCTGGCTACAGAATTTTTGAAGGACTATACTTTGGTCGTGCTTTGGTTGCTCGGCTTCGAATTCCCTGAGGATGCCTCCGAAAACAAAATATCTTCCTTGGAGAACGAACCTACCGTTGGATATCTTCTTACATGGTAGCGTTGCCTGCACGTGTACAGAAAATAAACAAAGCATGTTTGAGGATATTCACAAACAAACTACGAAACGTGTGATAAGCAAAGTAAATGGTGCTGGCTCAAGTACATATTAATATAGGTTCTTTTCCTATATGGATGCTTATGCAAAGCTTTTACTGTATGCCACAAAGCAGAAAATTAAATACAAAGTAGAAGAAAGCAGGAAAATAATATAGAACTGCGTAATATGTTGCGAAACAAGGAACATAATCGGATAAAGTATTTCATGTGATATACTATATTATGTATATCGTCTCTATTTACATTATTCCAGTGTTGATTGGATTGGCTTATTGGATTGTCTCATGGGTTGGCCGCCATGTAAGTAAATGGTCGATTATGTATTGCTAGGCGACCAACACACAATTTAATTTAAAGCTATTTTCACACTGATAAGGACATTTTATCAAATCAGGGAGTGATATGATAACGTCATTGAACTATAATGAATTACGTATTTTATGAAAATGTATGCATAATATCTGATTATCAGCATGACAGTATGATTCAAACGTGATTATTGAAAAGATAGAATAAACAAATGTTAATAATTAAATATCATTTACTTTTGACAATTCGTCTCTCTGTTCGAGAGCATCTCTAGTACCTATTAAGAGAATCATCCTCCTAGTCGTCACGAAACTCAGCTGAAGCATGCTGAAGTTTCCAATTTGACTCTACTAGTTGAGTTAATTACGGTCCCAGTTGACGGAATCCTCCTATCACGAGGCTTCCGGCGACTGGGACCGCAATTAACTAGGACCGCGGTCCCAGACGCCGGATCCATAAAAAAAAAATTTTCTTCGGGCGACTAGGACCACTCATAGATAACTTAAAAGAAAATATTATTCAATCCAATGGTACAGTACTAAAATCCATAAGTGGTCCCAGTCGCCGGAAGAAAATTATTTAATTTTTACGCATCCGGCGACTGGGACCGCGGTCCCAGTTAATTGCGGTCCCAGTTGACGGAATCCTCGCTATCACTCAATAATTTATTATCGTTGCTAGGCATGTTGATCTATTGTCACGTGTACTAAAACTGTACCTACTTGATAATTATATTTTTTTGGAGGAATTTGGAACATGACTCGCTTTAGTCAAGTGCGGGTGATTAACGCATTTTTGTACAGTACCTAATTTAGAAACAAAATCCCCACTGAGTTAATTAACTAGTAAGGATTTCGGAAAAAATACCTCACGTTGAGATGTCGACATTACTATGTCTTTTTATTTTCCTATTTCGTGGCCCATAATATGTTACTACAGTTCAAGCTTTATTAGTTTATTCGTAGCCATGACGCCTCTGATCGGAGGATATCATGGGGTCATTGACAAGAATCAAAAGCGCTATCTATAAATAACGAACGATTCGTATTCTATCTAAATAATCATAAGCGGCTCGCATATCCTAGATTCAGGAATGAATGCTGAATGGGAAGAAAGAGCTTCAAAGGATGCACTAAGTGAAAATTTGGAGCCCGTCCACATTGATTCTTTTGGCTGCCTTAAAGGACAATGTTCGTTCTCCATACATTGTTCGCCNACCATTTTAAATGCTGACTTAACACCTTATGTACACATGTTTGAACAAATAAATGTATCTTTATCTTTATCTTTATCTTTAAGATTTTTTTTGGGCATAGTTGAGGATATTTTCTAGGGCTATTAACGGATGGAAACACGATTTGATATATATGTTTCTCACACTTCAACTGGCATTGGATTCAACATCGGATTCTGACACTTTTACAGTTATGATACCATGAATATCAGTTTATGGTCCTAATTATTTTTATTTTATTTACGACCTTCGACCAGTTGGACACTTTAGATAGCTTCTTGTAATAGTGTCAATATCTTTTTAGCTTTTAACGCAAATCTAGTCTTCAAAGCAGTTTAATCGATTTATTTTATTTTCAAAATCGATATTTTATTGTCTATGATGGCCGCAGGAACATCACTATACATGGACTCCCAGCAATAAAGTACGGTAATGCCTCGTACAGATTTTATCGGCAAAAATTATGGAACTTGATAGGTTTTAGACCATGCCACGCACCAAAACGTCCGGAAGTTGTAATAGTATTATAGAATAACGTTAAAAGACTTATTTATTTAATTTTTCAATGCTTAAGTGTCCATTAGAACGAAAGGGTGCTTAATGTATTAAAAAAAATAGAAAATAATTATGATGGGTTAATGTTTTTTGGCGGTTTTTTAGGCGGTTTCTGACAATGTCCTTTGACGGTAATTAAATAATTACCCTATGGTGAACCGATGCGTAACGCGAAAACGTCCGCCCACGAGTAAGTTTAATGAGTTGCTGTTTGGTTGCTGTAAATATTGGAGAAATTACGTTAATGCGTTGATGCAATATGCACCAATGTATATTTATTAGATAATAGTTTATATCAGTCCGATAAACGGTGACCTCCTGCCGGGGTCATAGACCAGAGTGCCGCTATCTGCTGTTTATCTACGCTGATGGTCGCATTTGGGGTGGGGTGGATGGGGCCAACCCATGGACATTCAACTGGTAATCTAAATAATGCAATGCGTCGCCACACGGATACTGTTTTTGTCTCGCAGACATATGGTTTGGGCGCCAGGAGTACCCTAATCTATGGTTCGGACGTTCGGAGTTTTTCGATCTGGGAACTGAATGGTTTTATGATGATACTCCTAATTTGCCGAGCTAATTGTCCCATGGAAAATTCACAACTGATGTCAAGACATCAATTTTGAGTAGACTAGACTGTCTTTGTCTGTAGGCGCTAACTAATGGCTTTGAGTCAATGGCATGATAGAGTACCGCACCTTACGGTATGGGTATTCAATGGGTACCTATGGGTAGAACTCTTCTCAACTTACGAGTTGGCTGCCCCTGCGACTTGTGGGTACACGTTTTCCACACGTCGAAAAATATAATTGATCATGGAAGGTTCGTGACGATGTCAGAATCCTATGGCTCTTTTGAGGTAGGTTGGAAGCTATGGTGACCAAATAATTCAGACAGTAACCGTCGTAGTCTATCGTAACGAAGATGATGCCATCTGGCTGCGTTTAAAGGTTTGAAAAGGTGCACGTCTGCTGTCATCAATACATTATAGTCCCTGTTTAATGATAGCGACTCTAATTCTTACGACGTTAATCTTAGGATTCGAGCGAGCCGATACTAGGGTCTAATTGAAAAAAATATCTACTGTAGGTATATGTATATGGGACTACGGGAGTGAAAACGTCGAATAACTCGCGTCGCATTACGATTATAGCGATGTAGCAGAAATTGTGTTGGTCTTAATGTAGTACACAAGCAATATTGCTTGTTTGCCAGAAAAGCAATATTGCTTGTGGGGCAAACAAACAATATGTATCTACCTGTAGCAAACAAAGAGCGAAAGGTTACAATGTCGGCGACCGTGAATGGCGCGCGTTATTTGGGCACAGTGGTGGATCAAGGACTATTATTTTTTGTTGTTATGAGTGTGTAGATATTGAACTATCTGTTATATTTTATTGATTGTCAGGTTTAGGAGAATATGCTTTTATTGAATGCTAGTTTTCCGCCCGCAGCTTCGCACGGGTTTGTCCCGGAAATTATTTGAATTTTTCTCGCTGTAAAACCATCCTTGGACTTCAACGAACATTAAAAAAAAGAATTGGTAAAATTGGTCGATGCGTTGTTGAGTTATGCGATTTCTTTTTATATTTATAGATGAAATTTAAAGCAGGCAAAATTCAATGAACATGTAGTTTAAGAAATAGAGATAATTTTTAGATTTTAATATTTATTAAGATAGTAAATAAGTCGTTAAGTATTAAGGTAAAGTTTTTATAAATCCACTAAATATGGGAAATGGCATTGGATAGGTCTCAATAATTTATGAAATTAATGAAAGTAAGCTGGTACCTATTCCATTAATTTCCTTGAACATGGCAAAAAATTAATATGCGGATGACAAAGCTGCCGTACTAGCTATATCAACAGTAACTCCAATTTTTGCCAAAAATGAGTAATTATTGAATGAGAATCGTTATGAGTGAACTGACAGGCATTTTAATAGAAAAAAATTGAGTTACTGCTGATATAGCTACCACAGCAGAAAGAAAACCTAGTCTTTATTTGGATGAAGTCGAGAAATTAGAAAAATAGTTAAAATTAAATAAATTTAAATTAGTTACTTCTGACAATAAAACAAAGCTGCAACAAGGGTAAAGTGTGTTCAAACAAAGCCAGCTATTGAAACAAAGTGAGGCAACTTGCAAATAAATATTTAAAAACTTCTTTTAAATTGGTAACAAATATTCTTTAACATGTTAGACAAAAACAAAGGATTTTAATTAAAAAAACTGTTTTCTCCCAATTTATGAATTAGAAGATTTTCTGAAAATCATAGAGTGAGAGTTATGATAAGTGTACCAAACTATAGAATTATTGTTTATAGGACTGTTAACATTTTCAAAGTTTTTATATAAAATATGAGTATTTCTCAAAAAAAATGTACGTAACGAAACAGTAGTAACGAAATAGTAAGGCCATAAGGCTTGTTATACATTGGCGAATTATTGTAAATGCTCTTCATTTATTCAATTCGAAATATTTGTAAGTATGCACCCAAATACGGGGTAATATTAAGGGGTTAGAAATAAAATAATGGAGTAATCATTCATACTATTTTAATAAAATTATTTTTGTTCCATCATATTTATCCATTTTGAGTCGTTCTCTGTAAGCTTTTTGCCTTTCGGCATTGGTTTTTGGCGGCATTCCTAAAAAAACAAAAGAAGTAATCACATAAAAACGTAATCTAAATGATTTGATAATTTTTTGCTGGTGGCACTTCTGTAAAGCAGATAGTATTAAATCCTTTTTGTTATTACCGCTCTATATTTTTTGAAATAAATTAAGTAGTGAATATTACTATGCTTAGTCAGGTAATAACAGTATACACTCAGCATTATGTTGTACTTTTTCGTAACGTAATTTGATAATTTTTTGCTGGTGGCACTTCTGTAAAGCAGATAGTATCCAATCCTTTTGTTATTAACGCTCTATATTTTTTGAAATAAATTAAGTAGTGAATATTACTATGCTTAGTCAGGTAATAACAGTATACACTCAGCATTATGTTGTACTTTTTCGTAACGTAACGAAATTCGTAAAAAACGTAACGAAATATTAGACAAAATGAGATCAGAAACAAGTATTTTTTTGATAAAATTTGTTACAGCAAATATAAAAGCTTACTAAATGTTCGTACCACACGTATTACAAAAAATGGTTAAATGAAGACTTACCGTTCTATATAAAATCGCTGATTTTACTGCCTGTTACGAAAAAGTAATCCCACAAAACACACACGTTTTCACTAATTTTCGCGATAGATGTTATGGCGGAGACGTCAGGCCAACAGCCATTCAGAGTGCAGCTATTGTTGTCCGTGTAAAATAAATACGAAATTGTTCAGAAACCATGGGAAAGTAGAAATAAATCGTAACTAAAGAGTAAATAACGAAATAGTAAATGAGAGCGACTCATTTTGTTTTTTTGCTTTAAATTGCCAATTCATTATGACACCCCATAGAAAATCAATTTGATACAGAAACTGCGATTACTGTAGAACGATAATACTAAGAAATTTACAATAATTTAGTTACGTATCGCATTTTATGAAACAAAAATACATGAAAAAGCTAGGGTGGCAAACAGGTTTTTGTATGAAAGGTAAAAAAGGACTATTTTTAAAATATCTAAATATATGGTAATAAGTAGGATTATAGCTATAATTCTTCGTTATCTTAAAGATTAATATTCATCCTTCAAAATTGTGTGTGTGTTTTTTTTGTGTGATGATTTATAAATATAAAACTTTTGAACTGTTTCAAAGCACACTTTTTTTTTTAAAAATGTACATTTTTTTTGAGAAATACTCATATAAAGCTTGTTAGTTACCAATATTATTTAAGTGCATCTCCTCCGATTGGAACGTAAAGCGCGCGTCGGTGACCCCCCTCATCACGGGGTAAAACACAACGGAAACTGTGCGGTAGCTTCTATACATATATACATCGGTGGCGACCTGCCTGGTCACCAAGTGGTAATCATCCAGCAAAACAGTCCGAGTCCTGGTCAACTGCTCGATAATCTTCCTCCTATGAACCTCCTCCTCTGGCTCCTCACCAGCACTCACAACACACACGTACAACAATACATAATAAATTCTCATGATGGACGCCTACCTTTACAATTTCTCGCGATTTATATTTTATTGTATAAAACTATCCAAAGTTATTTAACTAAAATTATGTAAAATTTGTGCGCATTTTTACTATTATTGGAAAGGACGGTAACTTCGATTGATCTGCTGTTCATTCACACGATAAATCAACAGCAAGCTCGGCCGATATTTTTATTTTAATAAAAAACTGTCGGCGAAAACCCGACCCAATCTCACGAAATCAATCGGGCAATCGGCATTCGGCGAGCGAATAATACTAAAACGTCAGTAACGTCACTCGTATTGACAGGTGTCATATCAGAACCATGAAGCTAAAGATAAAAATGGAGGGCAGAGTTGGAACAAAAACTTGAGTCAAATACCTACTTATATCTATCTCGCTCTCTGCGGCCCTACCTCTCTTTTTAGTGTGAACTGTAGTATTGCTATCTTCTGATTTAAATCTCCTTGTAAATTCTTCGAAATAGCCAATTCACTAACCAAATCAGAAGTTAAACAAATAAATAATTAATATTTGAAACTAAGATTACCTAGTTAAATAAAAAATCACAAAATTGTCGGCCATTTAGGCTTAATGTGTTGGCGAATCAGGGAATTACAATCCCAATTCCTAGGTAATCGGTACCATGTGGCAACATCGGCCCAATCCGGCCCATCATGGCGGTTGTTTACTATTTTGTTTATTAAGCAGTTAATTTCGTTTGAAATTGTTTACAGGAAATAATCATTGTTTTATCACAAGAATTGGTGCAAAATTTTGTAGTGCGTGGTTGCGGTAGTACGTGGTGTCCTGGAAGGCGAATCAGGGAATTACAATCCCAATTCCTGGGTAATCGGTACCATGTGGCAACATCGGCCCAATCCGGCCCATCATGGCGGTTGTTTACTATTTTGTTTATTAAGCAGTTAATTTCGTTTGAAATTGTTTACAGGAAATAATCATTGTTTTATCACAAGAATTGGTGCAAAATTTTGTAGTGCGTGGTTGCGGTAGTACGTGGTGTCCTGGAAGTGACATAAGATTCCACGTGTAAGTGTTTATTTCGTGATTTCCGACATTGGATCACTGTAAACATTTTTCTCATATGTCAAGAAATAAAGATTTTACATTGGTTTCATTGAATTTGAGCAATTTTATATTTTTTGTTTATTTAGAAAGAGCGAGTCTGCCCACAGAGAGCGAGATAGTGATACTTAGTTTGTGCTTCAAGTAGGTATTCGGAGTGTGGCCTCCATTTTTATCTGTAGCTTCATGATCAGAACGTTCAGAAATTTGGGCGGAATCGCAATTTTTTAGCTGTCGGAGTGCCTTGGTTATGCTCAAGAACTATGTTTTTTTGGAGTGGGCTTTGTCGAGTTGCCCTTACATGATCATGATAACAAAAACGTAGCTTTTCAAACATTTTCAACTAAACGAAAAACATAAAAAAGCATTTTTCTATAAATTCCTACCACCATCAACCTAGTTTCAAAATGATAATAGACCCTCTCCCTGTGGACTTCTCCATTAAATGCTTTTCCACTCAGACTAAGGTTCTATGATTTATTTATTCCCACATATCTGTGATTTATTAATTCGTCCATTGAAGTTTGAAGTTCATATTTTTCTCTAATCCATATCTGTGATATTTTTGAACGTTTGCGGCGGCAACTCATTCAATGTTACCAACGTATAAAATTACCCATAATTTCAGATTTATATTAATTTGTAAATGGGACAGTCTTATCAACTCCAAAATATTGAAAACTTAATTTAGTGTTTCTTGGCGGACAAGAAGTGTTGTTTATGTAGAAATAGAATAGTACTTTACTTTATTTTATTCAGCCGAATAACCATTAATTGCCAATTGTATTGTGACTTGTGAACTTTTCTTTCAATTTCCTTTTTCAAGAAGTCTGCGCTAAGTTTATAGAACTACATCTTTAAAGAAACTCATGTGTATTTGCTGGTATCCTTCCGTTTGGCCAAATTACTTTTCGCCAAATTTCACTTCGCAAACAACTTATCGCCAAAGTTTCATTTCCCAAATAAACTTTTAGCAACTGTACTTTTCGCAACTAATTCATTTGGTCAAATTAACATTTGGCCAAATTTTACTTGGCAAATGTTTATATAGCAAATGTTTTATTTTGCCAAATATTATATCCCAAATAATTTGCTTGGTCAAATTGACACTTCACATACTTAAGAGTACCCACCGTTACCCACAAATCAAAGCATAAGGTACATGGTCCTGGTTTTCACAATAATTTTATGTAAAACAGAGAGATAGCAGAAAATAGTATGGTTGCAAAAAGTAGGTATTGTAGAAAATATTAGGTTAGGTTAGGTTAGAACAGTGACCCTTAATGCGCGAAGGCGAGCGAAGCGTGCCGCGGCAGCGGCCGCCGAGCGCTAGAATCATCTCTATTGTATGAATCATTTGGAAATTTCGATAAAAAGAATGAAATATGAAAATTAATTTAGAAAAAAAATTATATTAACTACCCACTAAACAAAATAATAACCACAAGCTAATTTGTATTCCATTCTATGCACCAATCAAATTGTTTTGTAAATAGTTCGTATCGTGAAATATTTTTTGCCAAATGAAACATTTGGCAAAACATACTTTGCCAAACAATAATTTGCTAAACAATAATATGCCAAAAACTACATTTGCGAATTAAAAGTTTGCAATAAGTTGTTTTGCCAAATGAGAATTTGCCAAATGAAAATTTGCGAAACATTGTTTGCGATGTGATAATTTGGGAAACGTTTTTTGGCCAAACATTAGTAATCCGTATTTGCTTAATACAGGGTGTGGTTTTGTAAAACAACGCCCATCTCAGGGATGGTAGTACTTACACAATTAAAAATAAAAATAACATTTTCCTGATCTCATGGATTTTTCCATGAAAATTTAGTGTATTATTTTATATTTTTTTAGGCATCAGTGTCGTGTGTAATATTATAATATGTTATACATACATACTACTACCCCTGAGATGTGGGTTGTTTTACAAAACTACACCCTGTAAATTAAAACCCTATAATTATCATCATCAATTATCCTCAATCCCCCAGTGGCCCCCAGTAGCATATTATTATCAATCAACTATAGTTACTAATAATAAAAAAAAAAAAATATTAATTTATTAATTGCTATGCTCGGAGTTTCCCTGCGTGATCGAATCAGAAATGAGGAGATCCGTAGGAGAACCAGAGTGACTGACATAGCCCGCAGAATCGCTANGGCAGTGGGGGGGGCACATGGCTCGAAGAGATGATGGCCGCTGGGGCAGAAAAGTTCTTGAGTGGCGACCACGAGCTGGAAGACGTAGCGTGGGCAGGCCTCCCACTAGGTGGACCGACGATCTGGTGAAGGTCGCGGGAAGTACCTGGATGCAAGCGGCGCAGGACCGGTCTTTGTGGAAATCCTTGGGGGAGGCCTTTGTCCAGCAGTGGACGTCTTTCGGCTGAAACGAACGAACGAACGAATTTATTAATACGGCTGGATGGCCCACGAAAGTTCATAGAACTTTGTACGTTTTTTACACGTACTTACCTGAGTTAGAAAAACCAAGAGGGGCAGCTACTCGCTTTCTTGTCTGCTTCCTAATGAGTTTTTATTTTTTTAAAGCCCTGGAAGCCCAAACTAGTTTGAAAATATTGTAGTGGTATATTTGTGGGAGATTTCTTAATGGCACTGGTATCCCACGCTGAAGTTTTTCGCAACGGTCCGGTTGATTCGGCGCGCGCATGTCTCGCTCTTTCGCGTAATCGCGTTTTTATTCCCAAGTTTGCAATAAATAATGGCTTCGACTGCAGATTCGAAGCAAACTGAATTAAACGGTGATATGTCCTCTTGCTCGTGTCCGTGTAAAAAATCCAAAATGGAAAATAAAGTGACTGTTGTGTTGGGTGCTCAATGGGGCGACGAGGGTAAAGGAAAAGTGGTGGATCTGCTCGCTATTAATTCCGACATCGTTTGCCGCTGCCAGGTCAGATTTTGATATTTCTTCTTGGCCACGTAGGTATTTAATTAAGTCTACATCCCTATGATATTTCCCAACTATTAAAAATTAAACTTGCACCATTACAACCAGCATTTAATTGTTTACGGAAATTACTTTGAGGTTAGAATTAAAGTATTAAGGTACGAATTTTACGCTAGTATTTCTGAATTTAACTTTATTTTCCTTGCTGTTATTGCGGCAAAAGCATCAAACTTAGTTTTTATTGAGAAGCCTCTTTTTCTGGCACTCGGCCAAGTTTTGTTTGAAAACATGTGCACTGTGCACACAATGTTTTTGTATGAAATCCGGACTTTGCGTTGCGTTAGTGCCAAGTTTTCTAGTAGCTGACTGACTATCGTTTGTTCAGTGTTGCGTAAACTTACCGCGTTCGGGATAATTATGTAATTTAAAATGTGCGAGTTTATATTTTAAAGTTTTTTCGCGTGTCTGATGAGCTGATCATGTGACGTCGTTTTGCTATAGAGTAGGTATGACGGTCGCGTATAGACCTCGTTATAATTACGCTGCCGGCTAATTGTGGATTCCTGCCAAGGTCTGGGCCGTTTATTGTCATGTTAAGTGTATAGTATTCACACTTTTTCACATATCTAGGGCTCTGTCTAATTTTAATCAGCTGTATCAGAAATAACAGAGGTCATTGTCTTTTGACAATAATCCATGTTTATTTATATCTGGACAGAACCAACTTTTATTTTAGTATTCTTTGTATACAACATTTAAATGTCTTTAAATTGAAAGAATATTATTCTGAGTAGTTATATTGTTCAAAAGTCAATTGATTGGATGTGTAAAACTGGTAGAAATCTGCTTCAAACTAAATAAATCTACAGTCAAGTGATGAGTAAGCTTGGCACCTATTTGACTACATAGTAGATGCTTAATATGTATGTACTCTGTGGTTCTATATTGGCTCACATAAAATTCTAAATCCTATTCTTTGTCTTACTACCGATTTGTGTTCATAATAATCTCTCTTCATAATTTTATTTTTCATATTTTTTTTATTCATACATTTTTATTACTACCATCGGAGCTCATAACAGTTAGTAATCATAATTTTTTTATCAATACTGTTACTACCAAGAACCATTTAAAATACATAATTTTTATTTTCAGATCTTTTTTCTTCCTAGCATGCATTGATCATATTGTTTTAATTAATAATAGCATGCAGCATGCATTGGTATCTCCTCGTCTCCGGCGCTGCGGGATGTGCAGCCC